TAAAACATATATAAAGGCTTGAACACAACATGCTGGATTATTGGTAGAAGTAAGCTACTCATTTAACAATGGACTCATTTGTGTTTAAAAGAATTCCAATATTGGCTTTTCTTCTGAGTTCCTGAGCTTGTTATCATTTGTGCAGTTGTTCCTTAATACATTTTGTAGACTAGGAAGTCAGATAATCAAAGTGATTACCAAGAACCACACTCTCTATTTCCTGTTGCTGCAAATGCCTCCACAATGAACCAGTTGCAATTGCTTTCTCCATTGACAGGATTTAACTCACATTGACCTTGGGCATGGGTTGGAGAATCAACGCTAACATTACTTATAGACAGAAAGGCGATATCTTCCTAAACAAATCCTAACAAAGTCAAAATATTAAACTTTCCTGTGACTAATGCTGATCTATGATCTGCTTACCTTCCAAGTTTGTCTCCAAGCCACCCCCCAAAGAATGATGCTATCATTCCACCGACTGCAAAGCTGGACACAGACAGGGACCAGAGCATGGTGATCAGGCCGGCCGATGCCACATTCTCTTCCTCAGTCCCAGGGGTGGGTGTTGGGGTCCCTGGGTACAGGTCTTCGGGCATCTCATCTGTACTGTTGTTAGCATAGCTGTCGATAGCTTTTCGGTCTTCCAGTGGAGCACCCAACACATATCTATAATGGGAAACTATAATCTGAGGAAATAAAATAAAGGAAAATAGCACCCGTATCACGAACATTCGAAAATATCATTCTTGATTTTCTTTTAAAACAGTATCCTCCCGCTCATCGGTGACACATACAAGTGTGGATAGATTTATGTACCACTGACCATGTCCCATAAAAGAGTACGTGGTCATAATGTGCATTGACAACAGATTCCCAGCAGGGACACATGAGTGGAGGCAAGTACCTTGATGAATAGAAGTCTAAAGCTCGTTCATCCTCCACCATGTGGGCGGTCATGGAGAATGACCATTCTGCTTGGGGTGGTGGCACATAGGAACATCCCTCCACCTCAAGGAGGTAATGGCAAAGGGGAGGTTAGCATTGCAAGAAAAATTTTAAACAGAAGCCAGAAATCTGGATTTTTATGGAAAGTTGTCCAGTGTTTAAAAGTTAGTAACCATCTAAATGGAAAAGAGTCTGCATGCTGACAGGACCCGCGTGTTCCTGTCCAATGGGACCTTTGCACAGCAGGATTTCAATTGTTTACCTAAGTGTGTCAATAGAAGCATCAAGTCTATATAAGAAAGGAGATGGGGAAATATAAGGCTCAGAAAGAAAACGTTTATAAAAAATTTGAATACTGCATACTGGGTCCTAGCTGGAAGTAAGCTGTAAAGTTAGCATCCACCTCCCTGGAGCCAGTGTCAAGAGGAGAGGACAATCCGCTAGATGACTGATGAGTTCCAAAGATACAGAAGAAATCATGGAGCCGGGGAAGCGATTGAGACAAAAAGGAAGTTCCTCCTACTGGTCCTCAGAGGCTTCCGTGTGCAACCAGCTGAGCAGTGCCGAGAATGCTGATTGAAAGAGCCATAGTGTATAACGTGCTTCCAAAATGAAAAACAGAAACAATCTCACTGCCATCGAGTTGATGGTGACTCACGGTAACCCTGTATGAGAAAGTAGCCCTGCCCCTGTGAGTTCCCGAGGCTGTAACTCTACGGGAGTAGAAAGCTCCGTCTCTCTCCTTAGAGCAACTGGTGGCTTCTTTTCAACCACTGACCTCGAAGTTCGAAGTGCTATGTGTAACCCCTATGCCACCAAGACTCCCCCTAACGTGCTTCTATAGAGGCAAATCCTACCAAAGTGCGATTGAGTCAAAGCAAATCCTCTCGGTCATCTTCTCAGAGGCAGCGAGCTGTGATGGCGCTCTTTAACAGGGCTGGAAGGCAGCTGTGCTCCCTGGGTGCAAACTCCTATGTGCCCAAGTCAGCGGGGCACAGGGAGGGGAACTGATACTCCTTTGTGGCCGAAGAAGTCTGAGGAAGACATTTCCCTCAGCAGAAAGTCGCCCTATCCGGACAATACCCAACTCACCAAAACTCACTGGACTGGTGGC